TTTTTTTAAGATATTCTTTTTTCCAGGCCACCTGGGTGGCTCATTTGGTTGAACATCTGACTTCAGCTCAGGTCATGGTCTCACAGTTCATGCATTCAAGCCCCACATTGGGCTCCCTGCTGTCAGCGCAGAGCCTGTTTTGGATCCTCTATCCCCTTCTCTCTGTCCTTCCCCCCAGTCACACTCTTTCTCTATCAAAAATAAAATATAATATAGACCATAAAATACAAACCATATTAAAATTCAAGTGAATTCAGATTAGAAACAAACCTCTTAGGGAAAAAAGCTAATTAGCTCAGAGTTACTAGTAGCTTATAGAAGCCATGTCTTTTACCGCACAAGCAGAAACTAGGCTCTGAAGGCAAAAGGATGCTGCCTGGACTCTAAACCAAGCCCACAGTTTAGCAGCACCAAGGTGACATGTACTCCAGGCTTACAGCTTCTGTTCTCATTTTAACAGTTTAAATATATTCTAGCACCACTGGATAAGATCATATCCTAGAGAATATACAGACTATGACCTAAGGACTAGTTTAAAAACTTACACTTGATTCCAAGAGTTATGGATTCCACAAGTACCAACAAATAGTGTTCTTTGAAGAGTCTGAAAGATTTTGACACTGTTGTAAATTCTGAATTACTTGAAAAATTTAGTATAATGAAGCGGCTTTTAATGATCTTATAGAACTTCGGTCTCTATCTCACTTTGTCTTTTTTGAGTTTTGATTTGTCGTTATTCAGTTTATATGTTATTAAATATTTTTTAGGTTTTTTTACACATTTATTTATTTTTGAGAGACAGAACACAAGCAGGGGAAGGGCAGAGAGAGAAGGAGACATAGAATCTGTAACAGGCTCCAGGCTCTGAGCTGTCAGCACAGAGCCTGACGTGGGGTTGAACTCACAAACCGTGAGATCATGATTTGAGCGAAAGTCAGATATGGCACCACTAGCTGTCATTATGACTACTTCAATAGTGCATCTAAGTGTGACTATTTAGGGATAGATTCTTTAGAAGCTGGCATTATACATTTGTTGCCCTTTATAAAAATTATGAAGAGTTGATCTCCACGTGTAGTATAGGTAGGATTAATTTGTAGTAAATAACATGATAAAGAAATATTCCTACATTACAAACAATGCTTAGCTGTAATGCTGTTTTAACACGATCTAAATAATAATAGCTACCATACAAATACACTCATTTGTATTGAGTAACCAATATTTTAAATATCTTACCCCCATTTTATAGTTGAAGAAACTGAGTCTCAGAGAAGTAAAGTAATTGTTCTTAGGCCACTCATATAATAAGTGTTAGAGTTAGCTTTTATTTTTTTTTTTAAATGTTTTATTTATTTCTAGGAGAGAGAGAGAGACAGCGTGAGCAGGGGAGGGTCAGAGAGAGAGGGAGTCACAGACTGAAACAGGCTCCAGGCTCTGAGCTGGCAGTCAGCACAGAGCCCGACGCGGGGCTCGAACCCACGAACCGCGAGATCATGACCCGAGCGAAAGTCGGACGCTTAACCAACTATGCCACCCGGGCGCCCCTAGAGTTAGCTTTTAAATCAGGACTTTCTGAATTCAAAGTTAATCCTTTTGATAACTGTGCGTTACTGCCCCTAACCAGTATATACTGTCATTGTGTCTTATTCGTTGCATACTTCAAATGACTCATAACTAGTTTGTTTAGCCATAATGCAGCATTTACTCTTCAACTTTCAAAGTAATCTTCCCCTCAGAGACCTTAGTATTCTGAAAACATCATCTAAGTTTCTGTATTACTTAAAAAATTAAAAATTTTTTAATTAGTATAATAAAAGATAGTGGTATTTAGTGGATGGAATAAAGATGTGGTTGCTATTCCCTGTGCTCATATAACTTCAAGAAATGGGAAGTAATTTATCTGAGATATAGATAATGTGAGCCGAAATTAGGCATTGATGTTGAGAGTCAAGAGGAGTATAATACGTGAGAGAGATTGGAAAATGACATACTCCGACAGTGATTCAGTGAAAGGGCGGGGGGACAGTCCCAGAGGAAGTTTAAAGTCTGGTCATTAGGAGGAAAATAGCTCCACATTCAAATAGGGATTTCAGGAAAACTAACAGATTAGGGCAGGGAGGAGATGACTTCAAGTTGGAGCATTGCAGTGTCTCGCCTCCACTATCTATCTAGATCTGGGCCCTTGAAATGTGGCTTAAGTTTAAACTGAGATGTGCTGAAACTATAAAATACACACCAGATTTAGACATTTAGTACCAAAAAACAAAAAAAGTAGAATACTGCATTAATATTTTTATATTGGTTGCACACTGAAGTAATAAAACTGTGGACACATTAAGTTACTGAGTTAAAATAAGTTGTTAATTTAACCTCTGTCCTTTTGCCACTTCTTTAATGTGGCTGCTAGGAAACTTGAATTGCATATATGTCATACCTTATATTTCTGTTGGACAGCACTAATGTACAGGAAGATTTGTAACAAATAGTTAGAAATGCAGGACCAAAATATCAGAGCAAAACATCTAGATTGGGAAATAACCTAAATAAAAGTGATATTTGATCTTTTGAGATTAGATAAAATGACACTGTACAAGGTATAGAAATGGGGAAAATGCCAAGAAGTAAAGATTGACAAAAGAAAGAGTAATTAGAATAAGAATTGGAGAATCAATACTCTAAAATGGAACATAGTCTGATTAGGCTAGAATTTCAAGAAGGAAGGAGTGGTTAATACTGAATGGTAGAGAAGCCAAGGAGAGGAAGGAAGACTGAGAAAAGGCCATTGAATTTGGCTGATACAGAAGCAGTTTCAGCAGAGTATAAGAAGGATAGATTGCAAGAGATTAAGAAGTTTGAGGCTGAGAAAGTAGACTCTATACATAAACTGTTCTTTCAGGCAGAGTCCAGTGGTAAAGATAATCATCACTTGATTTGGAGCAGAGTCCAGGGAAATTTGAGTATGTTTGTTGGCTGCATGAAAGGATCAGTGAAGTAGGAGTGCTTGGGGTTATAAGGAAGAGAAGATAATTGCCATAGGGCAGTTCTACTGTACTGGGTCCCAAACCTGATGTGGATTGGAATCAACTGGAAATTTGTTACAAGGGCAAATTCCTAGGCAACATCTCACATCTAACAAAATAATATTCTCTGGAAGTTTGTCTCTAGGAGCATATTGTGAACAAGTTCTTCTAGGTAATTATGACATATTCATAAGGACAAAGAAGTCAAGGAAATTAAAGGTGCTGGTGAGGACATCAGTGAAATAGCTGACCATATCATCTAGAATGGATAGAGAGCCAGTTGGGTTAGAATAGGGCTGATGGATAATGAACTATGAAGGAGTTGGCTTTTATTATTATATTGAGTGAGCACAGGTTCAATAGCAATGAAAAACTCAGAAAGTAGGTAGTAGATTTTTCAAAACAAAATGTTTAACGTTTATTTATTTTTGAGAGAGAGTAAGAGCGGGAAAGGGGCAGAGAGAGAGGGAGACACAGAATCTGAAGTAGGTTCCTGGTTCTGAGCTGTCAGCACAGAGCCCAACACGGGACTCAAACCCACAAACTGTGAGATCATGACCTGAGCCAAATCTGGACTTCTAACCGACTGAGCCACCCAGGTGCCCCAAGTAGGTAGTTAGGAGATTTTAATCAATGAGGGAATTTTCAAAATTCAGGATCTTGGAGGCCACACATGTACAAAATATAGCTATTTGTGTTTGATGTAGAAAAGAGGTAATAAGAATTGAGTTGTGCCCTTTGTAAGACCTATTACTTTGGTAAATGATAATGTGATATACTTTAGAAGAAAAATAAAGTGTGAGATTTGGGGACCAGGAAGAAGCACAAAGTTTGAATCAGTATGAAATTTTTAGATTTAAGATCCCACTAAACTATGGCTTGGGGGTCTTTGGAGAATTTTTCTAGACTTGTTGCTTGCTTGGGTTTAAAGTGATTCTTTGAGTATCTGTTATCCAGTCTAGCTTTTATAGAAATAGTGTGGATGCCTGACATTCAAAGTTTTGACTGGCCATAAGTGACCCTAAGTTCATGTCATGGGTAATTTTTTCCAAGCACATGAATTTGAATCAGCCCTAAAACTGGCTTTGTAGAAACTAGCCACTTAGTGACTTGTAGTAAAGTCAATATTTACATCTCAGTTTACCTTTAATACATGATTGTATTAATCATCAGAATATCTCACCCTTGTAGGTTTCACAGAAGAGGAAATTATTTGCCAAATTGTGGTATTAAATGGGTCAAAAATTAATTGAGTTTAAAAACATTTTAGCACTGCACCTACCATGTAATTGCTTAATAAATGGTAGTTACTGGCGCCAGTTCAGGAATTCATCAAGGTTTTTTTTTTTTTTAATGTTTATTACTGAGACAGAGAGTAACATAACATGAATGGGGGAGGGGCAGAAAGAAAGGAAGACAAAAAATCCGAATCAGGCTCCAAGCTCAGCTATCAGCACAGAGCCCGACGCGGGGCCCGAACCCACAAACCATGAGATTGTGACCTGAGCCAAAGTTGGATGCTTAACCATCTGAGCCACCCAGGTGACCCATGAATCCATCAAGTTTTAAAGCCATATCTTTTTGTATATGTGCAAGTTTAGTGAATGTAATTTATATTAAAATTTTGTTTCGATTCAAGATCTTCATGAATTAAACTGGAACTAGAATGTTAAATTGGCAAGTGAATTAGAACACTGGGACATTTATCATTTATCTATTTAAGTGTGATATACTTGATAGGGAGTATATTTCATAGGTAATCAATATTATATTGTTATTACAAAAAATAACAACTTCTAAAGTATTCTATAGCTATGTTTCCATATCACAATACACAGGTAAGAAACAAAATCAATTATATTATTATTTTGATTTTCTTAGGGATTTAGTGTATGTGAAAAATAATATGCCTGTTTTTGCAAAACAATTATCTCTCTCAGTGTATTATATACTTATATAACTGTTATTGCTTTATAGTGATGAGCTCCGAAAAGAAGCAAGACAGTTAAAGCGGGAACTCTTAGCAGCAAAACAAAAAAAAGGAGAAAATGCAGCAAAACAAGCAGAAAAAAAAAGTGAAGGTAAGGATATTTATCAGGTTTTTATTTTCACTTGGTACAATATTCCCCTCTCCATCTCCTCCTCTTTCCCTCCTCCCTCCTTCCTGAGTTTTGCTTTTTTTTTTTTTTTTAATACTTTCTTTGGACAGTTAGCCAATAAAATAAATTTTCATTTAGAATTTTGTCTACAAAGTAAATTCAAACATGATCATAACTGTTATTCTAAAAAGCTTAATGGAAACTAACAGAGACCTGACATCAGGCAAAACTTAAATGTTGCCATACACATATGTAGGAGTGCACAAGAATGGAATGTTCATGTCTTATATTGCATACCCTTTAAAACATTTTTAAAAAGCACTTAGGCCCTATGTTTGGGACTTGTATAAACATTTGTGCATTGGTTTGAATAGTATGAAATATAAACTCTTGTTTTTTGTTTTTTTTTTTTGTTTATGCTAAGACTGAAAATCTAAAATACCAATAAAGCTGATCAAAAATTAATCAAAATAATACCCTGCTATTTATACAGGTTAAATATGTGCTTCATTTTACTATGATTTTTATGAGACTAAAAGGGCTTTATTTTAAGTTTACTTACTTTGAGAGACAGAGAGAGAGCACAAGCAGGGTAGGTACACAGGAGGAGAGGGCAGAGAGAGAAACAGAGAGAGAGAGAGAGAGAGAGAGAGAGAACCCCAAGCTGGCTCCAAGCTGTCAGCTCAAAGCCCAACACAGGGCTCAATCTCATGAACTGCGAAATCATGATCTGAGCCGAAATCAAGAATCAGATGCTTAACTGACTGAGCCACCCAGGCGCCCCAGCATTAGTATGTATTTTAAGTAGCACAGGTAATACCACCTAACTGTCTAAAGGACACAGTTCGTAGATTATTTGCACCAATTCCCCCAGTGACTGTTATAGTAAAGGCAGATACTTAATGAAGAACTAAAAGTCATCAAAATATATCTGAATGAAACTACTAAAAAATTAACTCCCCATAGTGACATAAATTATAAGTTGGATTTAAAAGAAAGGTTAGTAGCGCCTTAGTTGGTTAAGCATCCGACTTCAGCTCAGGTCATGAATTCGTGGTTTTTGAGTTTGAACCCTGCATCACACTCTGTGCTGACAGCTCAGAGCCTTGGGGCCTACTTCGAAATCTGTGTCTCCCTCTCTCTCTCTGCCTTCCCACACTCATGCTCTCTCTCTCAAAAATAAACATTAAAAAAGACTTTTTAATAAAATAAAAGAAAGTATAAACTTATGTGTGACCAGGCCTTGTAGGTAAAGTATAACCCTGAACAGAAACAAGCTCTATTGAAAATACTGAGATTTGAAAGAAGTATAGTGAGGGTTATTTTATTTTTAAGTTTAGACATAATTTTCTCAGAGTATTACTGTTCCTTAAAATTAGAATCATTTTAAATGTATGACAGTAATCCCTTTTAACTAGAAAGATCTTTTACTTAAATTTTAATTCATTTTTGAGCAAATAATTATTAGTACCCCCATTTCTCAAGAACCATGCAGGACTAGGCATATGAAGTTGGCAATGGATGGAGGTTCTCACCTTTATAGATCATGATCTAGTAGAAGTAAGAGAATAGGAAATAATTACTATAATAGTGCTCTATAGTTAAGGCTTTTATTAGATATAAGCAGTGCTATTTTAATTTATCTGCCTTTGAAATATTAAATGCAATTAAAGAAAGGTTTGAGTCTTAGAATGATTTCTTAACACAAAAGAGAAGATTTCTTCTAGAGCTTATTTCAGCCTATTGATGAGAAAGCCATATAAAACCATTTTGTTATGCCATAATTAGAGAATTATATTAGGAATTACTTTTCTAAATTTAATTTTCCTTGTATCTTCTAGAAACATCCTGGATTTTCCTTAAATCTGAATATCATTTAAAATTATCTTCTACAAAAAGTGGGTCATTTTATTTATTTTTGATTGCTTTGTTTTGAAATAATTTTAGACTTACAGAGAAGTTGCAAATAACAGAATTCCCAAATATCTTTCACATGAAGGTCTTATATAACCACAGTACAATGATCAAAACCAAGCAATTGATGTTAATACCTGACTCTTGACTAACTACAGAGCTAATTAGAACTTCACCTGTTTTCCCACTATTGTCCTTTTTCTGTTCTATTTTTCCATCTAGAATTCCAAATTGCATTGAGTCATCATATGACTCCTTACTCTCCTCTGATCAGTGACAGTTCCTCAGTCTTATATTTCATGTCCTTGACACTTTGAAGTGTCCTAGTTATATATTTTGTGGAAATGTCTCATTTGAGTTTGTCTGATGTTGTCTTGTGATTAAATTAAGGTTATGCAGAGTGGTTTTTTCGTTGCTGTTGTTGTTGGCAAGATTGCCACAGAAATGATATGTCCTTCCCACTGCATTATAAAGTTATCTGTTGTCTTTTTACTGGTAATACTACCTTGATGACTAATTTAAAGTGGTGTCTGTTGAGTTGCTACACTCTAAAGTTACTCTTTTTCCCTTTGAGATTTTAAGTATTTGGGGAAAGATACTTTGAGACTATCTATTCTGTTTCTTTTCAAACTTACCTCCACTAATTTTAGTATCCATTGGTGGATCTTGCCTATAGGCAACAGTTATTTACTGTGGGGTTCTAATGGGATGACTTTATTTTCCTGTTTCTTACTACTTTTATTACTTAGAATTCTTCTTTAAGAAAAATGTCTCTTTATATCTATCTTTCTCTTTTTACTTAGTTATTTATATCAATATGGACTTGTGAAAATTTATTTTATTCTATGTGTTATCATCCCAAACTATCATTATTTATTTTATTGTTCAGATAGTACCAGAAATGGTCATTAGTAGTTCTTTCAGATTGGCTCCTATGTCTTTTCAACCGGCTCCCCACTTTGAGTACATTTTTACTTTCTACCACAAGAAGCTCCAGATTGATCTTGTGGTTTCCCTTCTCCAGGCCTGGAATCAACCACTTCAAGGGATTCTGGTTTCCATTGTATTTAGAAACCAAGGTCTAGGCAGTAAGCCAGTCTTTTTATTTTGATTCTAATAATTTTAGAATGCTATTAGGAGCAATTTTGTATTATCACCATCTTGTTAAAATGCTGAACAAAATTTGCTTTTAGCTCCTATCTATAATGCGTTACAAATTACCTTTTTCTTGGAATTGTATTTCCTCTAAACTTACTTGACCTTTTTAAATTGACTAGTATGGCTAATAATAGAAAAATGTTTATTATGGAGGCACCTGGGTGGCTCAGTCAGTTAAGCATCTGACTCTTGCTTTTGGCTCAGGTCATGATCTCACAGTTTGTGAGTTCAAGCCCTGCATCAGGCTCTGTGCTGACAGCTCAGAGCTTGGAGCCTACTTCAGATTCTGTGTCCCTTCCTTGCTTGCACTCTCTGTCTCTCTGTCTCTCTCTCTCAAAAGTAAAATAAACATTAAAAAAATTTTTTTAGTGCTCACTTCAGCAGCATATACACTAAAAAAATATTTTTTTAATTTATTATGTAAGACTTGTGAATTTCAGCAAAACACTATATTATATTTGAAATTAATATGTTCCTGTGAAGTTTTTAAATCTAGTTTTCCTTCTTGCCCCATGATTAAAAATGATACCATGAGACATCTCACTGCACAGGATTTTGGAAACAAAGTAGAATTTTAAGTATCCCTGAATATTTGTCAGAACTTAGCCTGTCTTCCCAGGTGAAAGATATTCCATGGTTAGAACTACATAAACTCTGGGAACAGATCCAAAGGTTCTCATAAGCATTTTCATAAGATTATTCCATGAAAAGAAGTTGAAAGTGATATTTGACCTTGGCTTTATAACTTCATATATCAGCTAAACCAATTCAAGAAAGATTTCTTGATTGGGCTATATGGCTGCATATCTGGCTTTTTTTTTTTTTAAGTTTATTTATTTACTTATTTTGAGAGAAAGAGAGAGAATGAGCAGGGGAAAGTCAGGGAGAGAGAGAGAGAGACAGAATCCCAAGCAGATTCTGCACTGTCAGCACAGAGCCTAACATGAGGCTTGAACTCATGAATGATGAGATAATGAGATCAAGAATCAGACGCTTAGGGGCTCCTGGGTGAATCAGTTGGTTAAGAGTCAGACACTTAACAGACTGAGCTACTGACGCACCCCTGCATATAGTGCCCCTGCATTATAAAAGCCCCTTCATATCTGGCTTTTATAAGACATTTTATTTTAATTCAAGACTAAATTACCTGAGTATTACAACAACTCTGGATGGTTTGGTCTGTTGAATATTATATTCTATATCTAGAAATTTAATTTTCCAACAAACTCAGAAGTAGATAATATATATTAAAAAGAGCATTTTGGATATTTTGGTATGTAAATTGTTGTATAATATAGACCTGTCTTCCAAATGAATTTCCATCTGGATGCATGTACCACATTTGCTATATAGAGAGTCTAAAAACACATTAAGTTTGGTATTTTTAAAATTTTTTATTTTATGAGACACAGAGAGTGCACATGCACATGAGCGGCAGAGGGGCAGGGTGGGGGGAGAGAGAGAGAGAGAGAGAGAGAGAGAGAGAGAGAGAGAGAGAATCCCAAGCTGGCTTCACACCAGGAGCACAAGGGCTGGTGCACTGGGCTTGAACTCAGAAATGAACCAATCATGACCTGAACTGAAACCAGAAGTCAGATGCTGAACTGACTGAGCCAGCCAGGTGCCCAATTTTGGTATTTTTAATAATAATTTTGATAGTAATAGTAAGTGCTTGTTATATATAATACTGAAGGTTATAAGAATACTTTAGAATATTATATCTTCTCAAAAAATAAACAGGAAAGTATTAAGACTTTTAAGTCCACTTACTAACAGTGAAGTTATTTAAGCCTGTGTGAGTCCATTTTCTTATCGTATATCCATGTAGAAAATGCTTTGTGTATCCCTCAAGGTTCTTGTAAGAAGTAAATTAGATAATGAGAAGACCTTTAATAAATTTACAGTGCTGC